AAAATAAATAAATAAAATAATACAAAAAAAAAATATTCTAATTTTCTAATCTAATAAATTAAAATACAGAAAAATTAATAAAATTTCTATTCGGTATAATATGAAGTTACTAATTTTAACTAGTTTTTTAATATGTTCTGAAAAACAAACGCAATTCACTTAATACTTGAATAATACACAAATATATAATGAGGTAATATTCCAATACTAAATCTTTATAAATTTATATTTACTTATATTTTAGATATTAGCTGGTGAATAAAACCCATCTAAACAAACTGCTGAACTCCTAAACGAGGAGCGTATCAAATGCAGTTCGACGTGAAGCAGCGCAATTACCGAGAGCTGGCAATATCCTTGGCAAGGATGCCTAATGTGCCGCATTGTCTGCGGCTTAAAGTTGCCGACAGCTTGGCGGGACTGTACCTTTAAGTACATCATTTAAAGCAATTTCTTGTTTTTATTGACTTTGTTCGCTGTGCTAAATAATGCAACAGGCCATTAAATGGAAAAGTAGCTGTTGAATAGCCAGCCAGTCAGCTCTGTTTCTCTGGTCTCTGTGCTGGATTATCGTGCGATCAAATGTCAAAGGACACATTTCGTCCTGTTGCTATTTACTGCCCACAAATATGGGCGGCACATATCACATTCTTTTTTTTTTTTTTTTTTTTGTCTGCTCTTCTTTTTTTTACCATATGTATGTTTAACTTTTCATTTCAAATTGCTTGAGGGCTGCTTTTTTACCATCGCCCACTCCCCTCTCTAATAGACGACATAGAATTGAATAGATGCTGGAACCATTCAAAGCCAAAAAGTCAACAAAGCGTGGCTCGTGCTAGAATAGAGCGACAAATAACCCCAATTGAAGGGAGGCTGCCACAAAATGATGATGAAGGCATGTGTGTGTGTGGGAGTATCTATGTGTCTGTGTGCGTGTGTGTGTGTGTGTGTGTATTGACAGGCCGACTTCAACAACTTTATTCATAAGCAGCGCAGACAGACAAACGTGACCCCAAGCAAACCAAACAAATGCGGGCTAAACTATGCTGCCTGCCAAACAGCTCTCTACATATCTATATAGAATATCTGAAGTGCATGTATATATGTATGTATGTATGTGTGAGTATATGGTCAACAGTCAGAGCCGTCTAGCACGTCTGCGGGCGATAACTCAGTTCAGTTTATGGCCAGCGCCTCAGCGTATGCAACATAGTTTAAAAATAAAAAACAAAAATGCTGCGACGTTGTCGATAAGCAGGAAACGTGTCAGAGATTGTACTCGTTTGTTGTTGTTGTTGTTGTTGTTGTTGTTGTTGTTGTCGCTGTTCGCTTATGCTGTTAATTTATTGTAATGCGCAAAGCAATTTGCACGGAGCGAGAGAGGGAGAGGAAGAAAAAAAATATATGTATTAAGTGCCAACTATTTGCATAAATAACAAGAAATTAATAACAAACACACGGCGCCATGGCAGCAGCCGCATAAAAGTTAATAATTGCTGCATGTCAACAGTGGGCGGCAGCGGAAAGGGGAGGCGTGGCCAGCACACATACGCGCACACATATGGAATACAAATGAAAAATATATCCACATATATATACATACGAATGTAGTTACAGAAATAATAAAAGTGCCAGCAAGCCGAGCGAAATGACACTTTATCACTTGACAGTAAATGCGTTTTATTGCGCTACTCATTAAACAAAATTTAATTTACAAACTGAATTGAGGATTGAGCATTGAACAAGTGTTGAACAAATTTAAGTTCCAAAAGTTCATCTTGAATATGGCAGAAAAGAACTGAAAAGTTTGCCATTGAAAATTGCCTATCGATAATGCTAAAAGTCATTCAGTGTTGTAAAATGTGCCTAAAGTCTCTTCAGCTCTTTCCACCTCACGCAACCAACTTCACTTTTGAATGCAAAGCTCTTAACTCATCGTCTGAATCATATTTGCAGCCAACTTCAAGTCGATATACTCACATGCATGACAGTGCAGTCAAAAATGATAGGTAAGCCTTAACAATTTAATATAGGCTGCATTTAAGGAGATTACATGTTTGGGAACACATGTGAATGCGAAAGCGAATGCGAATACGGATGCTCGCATTACCGTTAGCTCGGATTTCATTTCATTTCATTCAGTTGTTCACACACTCACACACACACACCCAGTCACATATGCATCACAGTTAAAGTGTTAAATTTATTGTTGGTCTGCAGTCATGCGGCTTATATTTGTTTTTCGCTTGGGCTCTGCAGCGACAGTGAAGGCAACGGTTCACATTGCGGTTCTTTAGCTGCGCATTCATTCATTATGTATGTATGTGTGTGTGTGTGTGTGTGTGGCAATAAAAATGGCGTTTGTTTTGCATTTCTCTTTCTCTGTTGCTCTTTTAGCTCGCAACAACAATTATGAATAACTCCCACTGTTCGTTAATGGTGCCAACTGCTGTGGCAAATTGTGGGCGTGGCGTGCTGTTGCACTCATATTGACGGTGAAATATATATGTTTGTATATACATACATATATCACTTTGCCAATTATGGAGGCGGACAACTGCGACAGTAATCAAATAATTGTCACATACATACATACATACATATATATCACTCGACTTTAATTTTTACAGTTGCAAAAGATGATTATGCATAAATAAATATGTATGTATGTAAGTGCATACATATATTACATAAAAAGTATTCTGAAAATGATATCTCAGTTAAACAAAATATAAAATCATATTTTATTTATGCCTATTTATTCATGACTCCACATTCTCCTGTTATGCAACCATATTTATATTTATAAAAGAAATAAATCAAACTATCGATCAACCACAATATTTCTTTTTTTTTCTTTTGTACTTAAACAATTACATAATTTAATTTTTTTTAATAATAATTTCATTATTCACTTAAAGTATTTATGTAAATTTCATTTATAAACAAGCAATTTGTAGAGCCTATTTAATTATCCAATTAAAGAAATTAAGTTGAAAAATTGTGAAAATATTTCACGATTGGTTGAAGTTCAAATTGAAAATGAAATTGAAAATGAAAATGCGCTGCTTTAACAATTTTTCCCGAGTGGGTGGATGGGCGGCTGGCGAGGGCAGGCGTGGTCAGTGCTGCGGAAACATGCACGAACAAGCGCTTTGCGTTTTGCATTTTTGGCTATCGCGGATGCGAATGCGGATTTTGGTTTTGGTTTGTTGTTGGGTTTGTTCGATTTAGGTTTTTGGTTGCGGTGTCGATTGTGTCGATATATTGTGCAAACGCATGCATTTTTGCGGTCCATTAAAACAGTCATCGACAACAACAGCAACAGCAACAGTAGCAGCAAAGCAACAACAATAACAATACACACAAGAAAAATTCATGGAAAGCGAACGCACAAATTTAGAAGAAAATTCACATCAAATAAGACCAAAGCAAGGTCAAGTGAACGCGCTGAGCGACTAACGCGCTGCCTCTCACTCTCTTTAAATTGCTCTCTGTTCATTCATTGCTTACTCACTGCTCTCCGTACTCCGCTCTCTTTGAAACGTCATGAACAACAACTGATGAGTCACACGCAGCGTGTGAGCACTTGACACACTGTGTTCGACGCCACTGTTTGTCTGTCTTGCTGTTGCTGCTTTGTGTGTGGGAGCGTGCGCGGCATACTTTGCCCAAGCAGGTAAACACAAAGGCGCGCGACAGAGACAGCTAGTGTGTTTGAGTGCAGCTGTTAGGCCAGAGCCAGAGTCAGCAACAAAAACAACAACGATAGCAATACAATTTATTTTCTGTTTTATGCTCTCTGACGCTCTGACGCTCAACGCTGGCTGGATCGTTTTGCTCGCTCAGTGACTGCGTCTATTTCACAGCGTTTGGGTGTGTTTTTATTTAGCTGCTCGTACGAAATTTCTCCATGCGGACAATTTAATTTTGCCAACAAGTGAACCGAAAAAAGGGCAGAACTACAGCAAAAAACTAATCGAATAGATTAACTGCACATGCAAATACATATACACAGCTGCGCGTGTGGGTTCGTCTACGTGTTTTTGTGTATATCTGTGCTCGTGCGTGAGCAAAAAGTAGATACGCGAGTTGTATAATCGCCAAAACTTGTTGAATTATTCGCTGCCTCCCTCGCACTGCTGTGTGAGTGCAAAGATACATAAAGAAACTAAAGCAACAACAACAGCAACAACTGAGACGACGTCATGCAGGCAATCAAATGTGTTGTTGTTGGCGACGGCGCCGTGGGCAAGACCTGCCTGCTGATCAGCTATACAACGAACGCCTTCCCCGGCGAATATATACCGACTGTATTCGATAACTACTCAGCGAATGTGATGGTCGATGCGAAGCCGATTAATCTCGGTCTATGGGATACGGCCGGACAGGAGGATTACGATAGGCTGCGACCTTTGTCCTATCCGCAGACGGATGTATTTCTCATTTGCTTCTCGCTGGTGAATCCCGCCTCCTTTGAGAACGTACGCGCCAAATGGTTTCCCGAGGTGCGCCACCATTGCAACAATGTTCCAATTATACTCGTCGGCACGAAGCTCGATCTGCGCGACGATAAGCAGACAATTGAGAAACTAAAAGATAAGAAGCTAACGCCCATCACCTACCCACAGGGCTTGGCCATGGCCAAGGAAATAGCGGCGGTCAAATATTTAGAGTGCTCTGCCTTAACGCAAAAGGGTCTGAAAACGGTATTCGATGAGGCCATACGCTCCGTTCTATGCCCACCCATACGCAATACACGCAAACGCAAGTGCCTAATTCTCTAAATGGGTCGAGGGAAAATGGGAGGGGAAACAAAAAGAAGTAGAAAAAAAAACAGAAAGTGCAACGAGCTAAGTAAAAGAGAGCGAACAAAGCTTGCAAAAGAAAAAAAATGATTCGCTTTAGTAACAGTAGCAATTACAGTTACATATATATAAATACGTATATGGCTGCGTGTGTGTGTGTGCGTGTGAGTAGGAGGCGACCCATTGATTGTCACGCACGAGAGCAAAGTATTCATATTTGTTGGTGTTGTTCTAGTTGTATCTGTGCGTGAGTGTGTGGGGGGCCATAGTTGACAAACATAAACAGCATATGTATGTGTGTGTAGGCACATGTGTCTAAACACAACGAAGTTCAGCAACAAATTTGTATGACAAATGCGTTTAGAATTTCCTCGGAAATTCGAATACAAATAAAAAGCTATAATTAATTGTAAATAAATCTAGATGATTTGAAGCGCAAACCAATGCGTAATGATAACGGCTTCTAGACTACTCGCTTATCAAAACGAACAAATTTTTGTTGCACATGCCTATAAATAAACACAGTAAAAATTAAAAACCGAACCACAACGAATTTGGCCCCTTTTCACACGAGCAACAATTGATACATTTCTTTATAAAAATTAAACTTAATTATTAAACGTAATTTATAATTATTGTGCTTCCAAATGTGTGCAATAAACAATAAAAATAATATTAATAATTCAATTGTTATATGTAATGCTTTTTGTACGCATTTTTTCATTAAATAATTTATTTAATTTTGCAATTAATGTACACTAAATATATATACATGCATGTATAGTAAACAGACTTCACACAGAGATACATATATGTATATACATGCATATATATTTATAGATATGACAGCGTTAAGGAAATGCAAAAAAAACTTTTGCCAAACTGTGCTTCTTTTTTATTACCACAATTTATTTATATTAACACATAATTTACTGTTACAAAAGTAAAACAAATAAATAAAAAGATATAAAAAATTTGTAAATAAAAGAAACAAATGTTTTGTGATTATGGATATTACATATATGTATATATGTATATAGCTCAACTATTTGTTGCATACTTTTGGGCGGAACCAAAAAAATAATAATCATAGGCTGTTATCTTAACTGTTTTGTTGTTGTTGATTACCAACTGTATTTCTGATATTGATAACAACTTCCGTTAGGCGAACGGATGTGCAAATCATATACAATATGAATAAGTCACATAATGAGCTTTACGTCTGATTGATGGGGGGTCGGGGTTGGGGGCTTATATTGGGTGTTGATTGGCTGGCAAGAAGAAGCTTCGCCTGTTGCTCGTTAGTGACCAGAGCACCGTGTGAATTTGACAAATAATTACGCAAAAGGCAAACCGCTGTGCGGCTGCCAAAGACAGCGATACCAACACCGCCCACCTGGCCACGCCCACACGCCGGCAATTCAATGCCAGTGACAGATTGGGGTGGGGGCAGTTGATGGATTGGCTTGGATGTACCTCGTGTTGTGTCTGCGGCGCGACAAATCGCATAATTGACCCAAATATTCAAGCATCAACAACTCAAAGCCCCCAACTGACAAAGGGGTGTGCGTGTGCTGTGTGTGTGTGTGTGTATGCGTAGCAGACTCACAACAACATCAATTGTAGCAGGCATCACTTTTTTATTTCACATTTTTAGTTGATTTAATTAGCGGAACAAGCACAAATATATACAATGTATACATATATTTATATATATTCATATATATGTCGCTTTAGGCATAGTACAAGTGCGACATGCACCTTTGGCAGCTGTAATAAAAATGCCGTTAAATTGTGTTTTGCCGCTGACAGGCGTGGAATTTACAGCAATTATTTCTTCGCCTCTGTGTCTTTGGCAGGCAACTTATTCAACTGCTACAGTCTCTATAAAGCTAGCGAGAGGAGCAAGGGAAAGTATTATTTTTGATATGCATATATATACAATATGGTCTCAAGTATATTGTATATCTATTTAATAATATCTAATTTCTATGGCCCATGCGGGCATCTTTGTCCTCCTCTCCTGATGTCAAGATTCTTAACGCAAATTCAGGTAAGGCCTTCACCTTCATCTCTTGGCCTGCATTAAATGTAATTCTAATTGGTAATTGAATTTTGCTAAAATGCTACGAACGTTTGGCAAGTCTCTGGTGTAAACTTGGTCGGGAAAAGTGGTCAAATTGCAAACGCATGCAAATGCATTGACAAGCGACGCATAATTATGCAAGCTGCCAGCAATTTATGCAACGTGCCCAAAATGAAAATGAAAAGGCTGTCAAAAGTGCCAATTGGCAATTGGGCAATGGGCAACGGGCAATGGAAAAATGGACAAATGGACAAATGGCAATTGGCAATTGGTGTCCTCGTTGCATTGGCAGGACATGTTGTGAGGCACGAATTAATGGCCGCTGCTTTGATTCATTTTTACAATTTGGCTAAATCAATTACGAAAATTCCCAGCAACAACAAGAACAGCAGCCGTAGCAGCAGTATTTTCCAGCTGCACGCAAATTGTTGCGAGAAAATGTAATATGAAAATTTCCCTGTGTGAGTGTGTGTGTGTGTGTGTGGAAAGCAATTTTCATGGCATTTTCATGGCGCACGGCCACAAATTTGCTGCAAAATGCCAATAAAATACGCTCGAGCGCAAAAATTCCATCTGAAGAAGGCAAAAAAAAAGTGGGTATAAAAAAAATAAAAATAAAGGAATAAAATGAGTAGAAAAAAAGCTCTAAAAATATTTCACACTTCCGCCGTGGAGCAGAGACAAAGAGACCACCTGAGCGGCAAGCGTCAACAGGATATGACAAGGTTGCCCCACGGTCGTTGGCCCCAACTTCACCACTCGCACCTCTGCTCTTAGCATATTTTCAACGGGCCACTTCCTGCCACATCGCCTTCAACAAATTATGATGATGCGGCTTGTGGCAGCCCAAAATGCCAAACATCCCGGCGCACGAATATGTTTATGCGTTGCCCCAGTCCTCCAACATAAAACAGACGCCGGCCTCAGCTGCTATACTCTAACAGCGAATGGGTTAGCATAGAATTCTCAAGCAGTTGACGATGAATCTGATTGGAAGTACGCAAATATGTTAGGCTTTGAGATGGACAAAGGCTAAGCCAGGCATAGGTTAAGCCAGCGATCTGGCAACGCCACTTGTTAAGTTATGGGTGAGTGAAATTGCTAAAGTCTCGCCTTGGCTTTGTATTGAATCTTCTTCTGTTTCTATTGATGCTTAACCATCGTTAAGCATCGACGACATTAGAGTTAACTATCGATTAGGTATCGATATAGCAAGTTTAACTCTTTTGGCCTATTACAATATCTATATTTTATAGTTATTCATAGATATTCAAAGACCTCGTACACCAATCTCTCTGGAGTATTCCTTATATATACCCCTAGAGTATCCACTCTTTTCATTCAGCCCATTTCTACGGCTCCCGCTGATTGAGGCGTGCAAACTCGGCGTTGGCTAAATATGATAATAACAATTTAACGTTTAATCGATGACGAAGGCTGCCATAGAAATGGTGTCACTCGTAAACAAAATGTGGCTGGGCTATTGCATTGGCGATTGATATTGATGTGAATATTGGATTAAGGCGGCGTAACAAGTAGCGAGACGTTGGCCAATATCCTTTTTGCTGCAGTCGAGCCGAGGACAGCGTGTTTCTGTCTCTGGCTTGGTTATTGATAATCTTTGTCAGGGCTTGACGTGCGCCAAGTGGATAACACACGGCGTTGCGTGGCAAGACATGCCGCAAAATATGAGCATGAAAAGTCAGTGCACAATATGGACAAGAAAAGGCGCACAGAGAGAGGGAGGGAGAGAGAGAGAGAGAGAGAGAGAGAGGGAGGGAGAGATAGAGGAACAGTAGATGGCTGGAGGAGTAATGAACTGCGGCTGGCAGACAACGGCAACGGCGGACGCCTTGTTTGTCCATAGCTCGATCGATGCAACGGCCACTGGAGTGTATTAAAAACAAAGTCACAGTGCGTGTATATGATATGATATGATATGATATATGTATATGAGCCTGTGCATGTGTCTGTGTGTCCTGTCTGTGCACAACGTTGTCCTGGCTCTTGTTGCTGCCAAAGTCAATGAACAGCGACAGGGACAACGCCAATGGGACAGGCGGCTCACCAAACACAGATACACACACACACACACGCACACAGAGACAGGCTGACTGCCAGGCAGGACATGCTATCACAGCCGAAGCAGGATATGAAGCCTGTGCAAAAGTTTGCCACAATTAGGATGCTGCTCCTGCTCCTGCTCCTGCTCCAGCTGCAACTCTCAAAGCAATAAAAAAGTTTAAAGTTGCGTTTAAAAATGCATAAATCATTTCATAAATTTAGAGGCGGCCCTCGATGAGCGACAAAAGAAACTTTGATGCAACGTCAAAGCCGACGGCGACGGCGACGCCGACAGCGACAGCGACACGTTTCCGCCATTTTGTTGCTTGCAACTTGTTGCATTTCAAAATGTTGACAGCTTCCAACACTATACGAAATTTCCGCTCTGCCTTGTTGCCTCTCGCCATACCGCTCACTCGGCCAGACTGACATTCAAATGCACATGGGCTGTGTGGCTTTTGCAGCTGTATGTGTGTGTGTGTGTGTGTGTGTGTGTGTGTGTGTGTCTGCGTGTGCGTGTGTCTGACAGTTTTTAGTTAATAATGAAAATTGCGCTAAAAATACAGATATATGGATGTATGTATGTTTGTACATCAAAAATATATTAAAATGGACAGCTATGAAGATCATAATGAAGATCATAATGAGCCGCAGGTGGATAACGAGTCGGCAACGAAAATGCAATACAAAAGCGATTTTCTATATAAATATTTCGTTTTGCCAGCTATTTTTGTGATGCCCCCGCAAAATGCCCACTATTGTTGTTGTTGTTGTTGTTGTTGTTATAACATAGTTCATATATTGTGTATTTATTTTAGATTTCGAAATACTTTTATTTATATGTATAGTAGATATCTTGTATAATATATTTATATAAGTTTATATATTTAATAATT